TGCAGATGACATGATATTCTACATAGAAGACCCCCAAAACTACACCAAAAGTCTACTAGAGTTAATAAGTGAATTCAGTAGCATAGCTGAATACAAGATCAACACTCAAAAAATCAACAGCATTTTTATACACAAACAACAAACTCACTGAGAGAGAAATTAGAGAAACCACAATTTTTACAAAAGCATCCAAAAAAAAAAAAAAAAAGAAATACTTAGGAATCTAACAAAAGATGTAAAAGACCCATATATTGACTCCAAAAAAGAGATTGAAGATATCAGAAAATGGAAAGCTATCTCTTGCTGCTGGATAGGAATAATCAACATTGTGAAAATGGCCTATTTAACACTCTTAAAACTGTTAAATAGATTTAATGCAATAAAAATCAAAATACCATTAATATACCTCACAGATCTAGAGAAAACACTCCTAAAATTCATTTGGAAACAGAAGAAACCTACAACAACCAAGGCAATCCTGGACAACAAAGTCAAAGCAGGAGGCATCACATTCTCTACAAAGCTACTGTGATAAAAATCAGCATGGTACTGGCAAAAAAAAAAAAAAAAAAAAAAAAAAAAGACAAACAAAAAAAAAACAGACCAGAGGACCAGAGGATTAATGGAACAGATTAGAAGATGCAGACACAACTACAAAAACACTTAGCCACTGTATCTTTGACAAAGGGGCCAAACATGTTCACTGGAAGAAATATAGCCCCTTTAATAAAGGATGCTGGGAGAATTGGCTTTCCATATGCTGAGGACTAAAACTAGACCCGTGTCTACCACCGTGCACTAAACTAAAGTCAAAATGGATCAAAGCTATAAACATTAAAACAGAAACACTAAATCTACTAGAAAACCAGGTAGGTAGAAATCTTCAAGACATAGGGGTAGGCAAAGTGTTCATGGACCAAATGCCAATTGCAAGGGAAGTACTTCAAAGAATCAACAGGAATCTCATCTTATTAAAAAGTCTTTGCACATCAAAAGAAATCACCAACAGAGTGCCAAAAAAAAAAAAAAAAAAAAAAAACCAACAGAGTGGGAAAAATACTTAATCAACTGTTTTTCAGACAAAACACTTATATCTAGAACATATAAAAAATTGAAAAACATCAGGACTCCCAAATTCATAGACCCAATCCAAAAATGCGGCATTTGAGATAAGCACACACTTCTCAGACAAATACAAATGGCAAATAAATATATGAAGAAATGTTCAACATCACTGGTCATTCAAAAAATGCAAATTAAAACAGCACTGAGATTCTATCTCACTCCAGAAAGAACAGCTGTTATCAAGAAATCTACCAATAACAAATGTTGGCAGGGCTGTGGGGGAAAAGGAACCCTTCTCCACTGTTGGTGAGAGTGTAGATTGGTGCAACCACTGTGGAAATCAATGCAGATATCCCTCATAAAACTAGGATCAGAAATCCCATTCAATCCAGATATTCCCCTTCTGGGTATTTTCCCAGAATTAAAAACACAGTACCATAATGATATATGTGCACTCATGTTTATAGCAGCACAAATTATAATAGCTAAATCTTGGAAACAACTTAAATGCCCATCAACTGCAGAATGGATAAAAAAGACGTGGTATTTTTATACAACAGAGTATTACTCAGCTATAAAGAAGAATAAACTTTAGGCTTCTGTAGATAAATGGATCCAACTAGAGACCATACTCATAAGTGAAATAAATCAAACTCACATGTGTAAATGTGATGTCTTTCTAGTGTAAATTAAAAAAAACTGAAAGTAAATAAGATCCAAAATGTACAATAGATATTGTGAAATGAAAGAGAAAGTGCTCAAAAGGAAAAAAAAAAAAAAAACTGGGATGGGGAAAAGGAGGAAAGGAAAAGATTATAATTATATATACACACATGTCTATGTAAATATATAAAAGATAGATAACTATACTACTACTTTGTTAGTTTATCAAAAAGAACAGTCTATGTTTTCATTGTTTGATCATCTTTATGCTTAAATCTTGTAACCTGAACAACTGCTTTCAAGATAACAATAAGTAATATACTAACTAGTATTAATTTCCTTTTAAAAAAAAAACTCTATCATTTTTTATTTTTTATTTTTTTAAAAAAACTACATTTCCCTAGGAAATTAATTATATGAACCCAATTTTTATAGGAAGAAAAGCAATAATTTCCCTCAGATCTTGTGAAAATGCATAGAAAGGACTGCCCAAGGACCCAGCTGTTCCTCCCGAGAAAGCAGTTCCCAGCCAGGGTCATGAGGGCTCAGTTGGCCCAGGAAGAGCCCGTGATAAACACGCCCTGCACTGGCCCAGTAGAGAGCTCCTCGGTCTCCCACCCCGGGGTTGCAGCAGACCTGGAAGTGGTGACTTCCCAGTGCGGAGCCATTGCTCCCACCACTCACGGGAAACCATCCACAGAACTGTCGCCATTCAGGGGATTCCCCATGAGAAACAGCCCCAAATGTGTTCCGGCCCATCACATCACACTTGGGAGTTTCTCAGAAGACAAGACCATCAAGTGATATTATTTAAAAAGTTCTTAAAACATTTTCCTAAACAAAAGCAAACTGTATGAATTGCACTGCATCAAAGTCAGTATTCACACTGGCCCTTTGCCTTGTTGGGGGAACGATACCCTGGGCAGGGGAGGGAGGACTTGCATGAGAACAATGCTCTCTGAGCCTTTGCATCGGAGCACTCAAGGACCACCACATGGCCGTGGCCGCCTGGGCATGCACTGTCCTCACTGTTTGGTCAGCATCTTGCCCTGGACCACTTGGCTGGGTGCCACCAAACTGTATAAAGGGTCAGCCTGCCCTCCCCGCACCAGGCCAAAGACCTTCCTAGTGTCACATCCAAGGGTCCCAGTCCATGACCAGGACACCTCAGGAAGGCCACCACAGGCTCATCAGTGGGGACACTCGCCAAGTCTAAAGGACAGATCTGAAGAAGAGGTCACAGGAGAGGAGATGCCCCACACTGATGGACATCATGGTGCTCCCTGGATGATGGCCTCTCCATGGCATCCTGGTCTGAGGATGGCCACTCAGCCTTGTCCCTTTCTAACCCATGTCTCATCTCTTTTGGACTCTGCAGTTTCCTCCATGGCTCAGGGGCCACAGCTGCTTCCTCTGAGAATCATCCCCAACAGGACCCAAGCCCTGCATTTCACAGAAGCCCCAGGGCACTGGTGGGTGCAGCTGTCAAGGCACTGTCCCCCACTTGGGCACAGGACAAGGGCAGGGACATTTTCCTTGGGACTTCCTATGCATCCATCGCCCAGCACAGTGATTGGGCACGGAGGAGAAAGACAAAGCAAATGACCAGAGGAACTGTCAGTGAGTGAGAGAAGAGGCAGGGACTATGGGTCAAGACGTGTGACAGGAGGAAGTGTGACAGGAAGGAGTGTGATAGGAGAAAGTGTGACAGGAAGCAGTATGGCAGGAGGAAGTATGACAAAGGACAGGGAGTACATGATGAGCAGTCACAGGACCTGGGGCAGAGCCACCTGGGCCACCAGGACCGACTCTGAGCCAGATGCTGAAACTGGTGACATCTGCTGGGGTCTTCACTGGGGTCTGGCTGCTGGGCAATGGACCTCGAAGAAGACTGAAGTGCGCTCAGGAATGCCAGGGCCCTGGGGGACTGGGGCAGTTTGAGCCCTGATCCATGAGGGGCAGAGATGCTGGCGTTGACTGAGCCACTGAGTGCACCCAATGGGCAGTAAATGGAGGTTAACAGGTGATGAGAGTTTCTCTCTCTACACCTGTTCCACCAGGTGGAACATGATCCAAAGGTCAAATTTACCCCTTGGAGGCTTTGCACTTTCATCATGCTGATGAACCTAGAGCAGGCTGTGAGCTTTTGAATAATATGCTCCATGCTTTCTTAAAATAGACCATTAGCCAGTATACAGCAAAGGGAGCTAAGTTCCTTTTGGACAGCTCATGTGATGGCTGATAAGGGTTAGCAGGACCCTCCTGGAAGGTAAAACATCTGTCCACTGAATCCAGGACACTGAATGGAAGAACTGTTGCTCCAAAATCCTTAAGGGTTTACTTGCATTCGTAAGGAGATAACTGCCAACAGTGAACACTGTACACGTACTTATACTTGAGCTCAGAGCCCACGGTGGCTTACTTGATAGAGACCTAGAGCAGACTTAAAGAAAGTTTGAACTCTTCCTAATAAAACTGCCCTTTCCATCCCCTTCACCCTCTCCCACACATACTCACTCCCATCTCACACATTTGGAGAAAATTTAAAAAGCAAATTATTTACTATGTAGTTACTACTCTATCATATAAAGTACATTTATTGTGATACTAACGAACGTAAACTTAAGGGCACCTTCTTTGCCCAGGCACATGGTCATATGTTTTACATTTTGAAATATTTTAAGTGTAACTGGTGAAGACGACTGTCTCTCCTCTTGTCCCATTGGTTGGGCAGCAGAGTGGCTGTGGACTCGGGTTCAGGCCAAGGGCAGCTGAGGTGGGAGACAGGTAGTGTGGGCTCATGGGGTGTGTAGCTTGGGTAAACTCTGAAGATGGTTAAGTTATTGTGAGCTGTTCTGCTGGAGGAATGAGTTAAGAATTCCCCTCCCATCCAGGGCACACTCAGCATCACAAAGGAGGGTGTGGGGCAAAGGTGTCTTGATGGGTGATGGCTGCAGCTGCTGTTCCTGGCATGCTGCTAGGAGGACAGGGAGTACGTGGGGCTTCCACATCTCTTGGCTGGTCCCCATGGGCTGAGGAGATTCCCTGCTGGCCAGCAGCTGGCCACTCCTCCACTTGACAGTGAGGAACATCACATCTTCTGCTGCATCTCCTAAAAAGAGATGCTTGGAGTGCTATAGAAGTGAACCTGCACAGCATTTCCACACTTCTACTATAGAAAAACCATGAACCTCTCCTGCCTTGTACTGACAGGTTGTCTGGATGCTTTATAGGCATACGTCTGCTTAAATAAACCAGTCTTACAAGTGTAATTCTTCTTTGAAATAGAAAAAAAATCAGTTTTATTTCTTACATATAAAATCTTAAATTTTAACTGTAATAAGGTATGAGTTTTTTTATAATCTGAATTTTTAAAAGGTATACCCATTACATAATAAAAGAGGAGACAAATATTTTAAATTTTTATCTAATATTAGAAAACATCAGTTTTCATTTTTTAGTCTAATACAGCAAAGCAGATGAAAGCTCCATTGCAGTTATTTTATTTAAAATGGGCGTGGTGGCACATGCCTGTAATCCATACACCTTTGAGGTCAGCCTGGTTCACACTTGAGTTCAACATTCACTCTAACCACAGTGTAGCAAACTTTTCAATTCCTTTCAAACAACGAAGTAGAGAAAACGCCTATAGAACCTCAGATTATAGGTCCACTGCAAGATTGAGAGTCAGATGCTTTAATAAAATTGGTACATTTACTGTATAAGAATCCTGTGAAAAAATAAAATGTCAAATTATTTTGGATCTAGGTCTTTGTATTACAATCTGCCCCTAACTATGTCCGCTTGCTATCGTGACTCTATGCACACAGATGACCAAGAGCAGAGACAACTCTAGGCTCTCAGCTGACCTCAGCCGTGGTGCTCCAGGTCCTCAGCAGAGCGGAGGTCGGGTCCCCATCTTCACAGAGCGTCATCCCATGGTGAGCCCTGCATAGCACCGTCAACCCACACCTGCCACACGGGGTCCACGAGGCTCAGCCTGGGGAAGGCAGCTTCCTCTCCACCAGATGGCTCTATCTACTATTCCAAAAGCCCTTGGAAGGCAGAATCTTCTGGAAAAGAGAGAGAGAGGAGTCTGAATGATGACAGGAAGACACATCACCAGTCAACTGTGCTAATGCCAAGCAGGGTGAAGAAGCTGGCGAGCAGAAGTTTGCAAAGTACTCTCTGGTACACGCACCTGACGGAGCCCCATGAAAGCAGCCATTCTCTTACCAGGCGTAGGGGGCTCTGCCATGAGGAGTCTGTGGTTGGTAAATGGTTCTGTGGAGTCTTGTTCTGCCGATCTCTCCTCCAGGTCTGACTCTGGGATCGGAGTACAGCCACCTGCTGTAAGAAATGCAGTGTTTCAAGCAACGTGGGAGAAGATGTGGCCCTTCATAGTGCTGCGGCTTAGGAACGATGTGACAACAGAGTCCAGGAGAGACCAGAAGTAACCACTATGTCTGTCTTTTCAAACACCATGGAAGATGTGACGACCCCAAAACTCTCAGAAGACCTGCTAACAGCAGCAACAGTGTTGTTTTAAATTTATCTTTTTTTTTTTAAAGTCAGATATGCCAGAACTGGCTGGGTATAGAGGCGCATGCCTGTAACACCAACACTTGGGAAAGCTGAGGCAGGAGGGTTGCTGTGAGTTTGAGGCCAAACTGGACTACACAGTGAGTTTAAAGCCATCCTGGACTATATAATGAGACCTTGTCTCAAATCAGTCAATCAATCTATCAATCAATCCCAACCACAAAAAAATGCACAAAGACTTAAGACATGTCAGAATGACAGCATACATAGTGTCAGTGATATAACAGACCCTGGGCAGGACTTCTTTTTTTTTTTTTTTTTTTTTATTTAAGAGGAAAAAGAGAAAAACACAAAACAAACCAAAGCGGTGTAAGGGTACACGTAATACAGAACTACAAAACAAAACAAAACAAAACAAAAAAACAAAACAAACAACCAAAAAAAACCAAAACAGTAAGAAATCACCTGTTAGTATATTACATATTATCATCTTGAAAATAGTTCCTCAAATCACAGTATCAAAGAATACAAGGTGGACATTCAAACAGGTAGACTGCAAACAGCTGTGTTCAATGATCCAAAAACATTGATACAGTCAGCTATTTAACACCCCTAAACACACTTGCTGTTATATCCGTTAGAGATCTTTTTCTTTTTTTTTTTTCCCTCTCTTTTTTACAACAAAATTCACACACTTTAGATTTCATTACTCCTTAGTGCTTATTACTTTTTTGGGGAGGGGGGAAGAATACAGTCAAATATGGCAAAACAAAGCTGTCAGTCAATACCAAGGATAGACATAGCACATGGTGTAGAACAGAGTACAAGTTTATCAACAATGGTTATCAACGTTGTCTCTTGTTTCCTTAAAAAGAATTGTCTATCTCATTAGATATTATAAAGTTGGACAAAACAGTAGAGAACAAGACCAATAAAACTTAGGCATTGTAAACATTACAGGACTTCCAAAGAAGACAATAGTCAAACCAGAATGGGTATCTTAGTGAATCTTATTGTCTTCAAAGTAGTTGCCTATGTCTTCAAACTTGATACTACCATATAGAATGGAACAGAGTTTAATCAGTCAAAACAAGATTGTGGGAGTACTACAGGACTTCAAAACAAGTTAATAGGAAATCAAAAAGAGTTACTATTTATATATCCTAATTTTTTGAATTTTTTCTTTAATTAAGACAAACATAAGAAATGACTAAATAATTTTTTTAAAACAATAAGGGGGAGATTGAGATAAAACAGGACATAACAATATAACAATAGAGGTCCCAGCATGACTGTTTCAACAACCTAGTACTTCACCACCATATAACCTGACTTAATAGTAGTTACCATAGTGTCTTTTTCCTTGAAATATTTGGATAAAACTTCATATACTCTAGCTTCAAATATTTTCAAATCAAGAAGCCCAGAATAAAGCCTTTCTAATTAATGAGTGAAAACTTTATAAGGCTCCAAGGCCACCTAATGGGGAATCATGATTACCACATATTTTTATATATTTGATTCATTACTTACATTAGGGAAACTATTCGGTATTCACACATGCGAGATTGATTTATTTCACTTATGAGTATGGTCTCAAGCTGCGCCCATTTATTGATAAATATCTCAATGTGATCCTTCTTTATAGCTGAATAATACTCCATTGTATAGAAATACCACAACTTTTTTATCCATTCCTCAGTTGATGGGCACTTGGGTTGTTTCCAAGATCTGGCGATTACAAATTGTGCTGCTATAAACATAGGTGCACATATATCACTGTGGTATGATGCTTTCAGTTCTTCTGGGAATATGCCTAGAAGTGGAATAACTGGAATAAATGGGATTTCCAGTCCCAACTTTTTGAGAAATCTCCAGACAGATCTCCACAAAGGCTGTACCAGTCTACACTCCCACCAGCAGTGCAGGAGAGTTCCTTTTTCCCCACAGCCTCTCCAGCATTTGTTGTCGGTTTTCTTGATCCTGGCCATTCTTTCAGGAGTGAGATGGTATCTCAGTGTGGTTTTAATTTGCATTTCTCTAATGACCAATGATGATGAGCATTTTTTCATGTATTTATTTGCCATTTGCATTTCATCTGAGAATTGCGTATTCATCTCAGATGCCCATTTTTGGATTGGATCTTTGAATTTTGGAGGTCTGAGTTTCTTTAATTCTTTATATGTTTTAGACAAGAGCCCCTTGTCTGAGAGAGAGCTCACTAAAATCTTTTCCCAGTTTGTGGGTTTTCTTTTCACTATGCTGGAGATTTCTTTTGACATGCAGAAACTTTTTAATAAGAAGTGGTCCCAGTTATTGATTCTGGGAAGTATTTCCCGTGCGGTTTGAGTCCTGTTCATGAATTCTTTACCTACTCCTATGTCTCCAAGGTTCCTACCTAATTTGTCTTCCAATAGATTTAGTGTTTCTGTTTTAATATTCAGATCTTTGACCCATTTAGATTTTAATTTAGTACATGGTGATAGACATGGGTCTAGCTTTAGTTTTCGACAAATGGAGAGCCAGTTTTTCCAGCACCATTTATTAAAGAGACTGTCGTTCTTCCAGTGAACCTGCTTGGCTCCTTTATCAAAGATAAGGTGGTTGAGTGTATTCGTAGTTGTGGTTGTATCTTCTAATCTATTCCACTGATCTTCGGCTCTGTTTTGATTCCAATACCATGTTGATTTTACTACTGTTGCTTTGTAGTATAACTTCAAGTCAGGGATTGTGATGCCTCCTGCTTTGTCTTTGCTGCTTAGAATTGCCTTTGCGATTCTAGGTCTCTTCTGGTTCCAGATGAAATTTAGGAGTGATTTCTCTAGATCTATAAGGTATGTTGATGGAATTTCTATTGGGATTGCATTGAATCTGTATAACAGTTTTGGGAGAATGGCCATTTTCACAATGTTTGTTCTTCCTATCCATGAGCAAGGGATGTCTTTCCATTTTCTGAGATCATCTTCAATTTCCTTTTTCAGTGTATTATAATTTTCACTGTATAAGTCTTTCACTTCTTTCGTAAGAGTAATTCCTAAATAGTTCATTTTTTTGCTTGCTAATGTGAATAGTCCAGTTTCTCTTATTTCTCTCTCTGTAATTTTGTTGTTCGTGTATAGGAATGCTATTGATTTCTGAGTATTGATTTTGTATCCAGCCACATTACTGAATTTATTTATTGTATCTAAGAGTATTTCAATGGAGTTTAGGGGGTCTTCTATGTAGAGTATCATGTCATCTGCAAACAATGATAATTTAACTTCTTCTTTTCCTATCTTTACCCCTTTTATTTCTCTTTCTTGCCTAATTGCTCTAGCTAGTACTTCCAGTACTATATTAAATAGGAGTGGTGATAAAGGACATGCAGGACTTCTTTTTAATACCACGGCATCAGAAACCATGAGATAAAGAGACAAATACTCTCCTTGAGTGAGTGGAAGGTTACAGGCTCCTAGCAGATTTTGGGCGCTCCTTAGGAGTCTGATTGTCCTGGACCCAGCCCCTCAGCACAGATACCAGCTCTCCACAGTGCAGCAGCAGCTATGAGCTGTGCCGGGGACACCAGGTCCAGAAAGCTGGGTGTGTCACCTGACCATGGCCACTGCAGATGTGTATGAGGAGCTCAGGGGCCTGCAAGGCCTCTGACTGCATCCACAGTGTGACCTCACCCGCCCACCATCGGTTCCTGGACACGTGTTAACCACAATGCATGGGGCATGTCTTGTTATTCTTGTTGATGAAGTCGATGCTTCTCACACACTGAGTCCACACCCTGTACCCAAGCATGGCTTCACATGAGAAGGTTAAGGATGCTCATGGAAGGCTGCAGGATGCAGCAGAGATGGGAAGACTGTACCATCCCAATGGGAGGGAGTGGCTGGACCCTGGAGTGAGGAAAAGTTCCCCTGCACCTGCCCTCTGTACTGCTTCTGAAAAAGAAATCAGATCCAAGGGAAAATGGGGAGAGAGGGGTTTGATGACCATAAAATAGGAAGTGGCACACCTGCAGAGTCCCTGGACAGGGCACCCAGATTACCCATTAACATGACGGCACCACCTCGTGTGTGGACAGTGAGGGCCCTACCAGGAAGGGAGCCATGCTGAGTTTTTACATGTATTTTTGTTAGTGTCTATTAATTTTAGAATGCACTTGCCAGGTATGGTGACATATGCTTGTAATCCCAGCACTCAGGAGGCTGAGACAGGAGGATCATTGTGAGTTCAAGATCAGCCGGGGCTACAAAGTGAGCTCAAGGCCAGCCTGAACTACATAGTCTCAAAAGAGAAAGAAAGAAAGAAAGAAAGAAAGAAAGAAAGAAAGAAAGAAAGAAAGAAAGAAAGAAAGAAAGAACTAGGTTTCAATATGGAAATTTTGAGCACATTCATGTCCCCATTACCTCTTTACCCTATTCCCTTCTTCCTGTCCAATAACAGTCTCTCCTATACTTTCATGCCACCTTTTGTTTTAGGACTTTAGTTTATACATAATATTTGTCTTTCTAAGTCTGGCTTATTTAGCCTAACATGATGATCTCTAGTTCCATTCATTTTCCTACGAACAACATGATTACGTCTTTCTGTATGTGCTGCAATGAACATGGGAATCCAGGATCCCTATGTAAGCTTACTGTAACCCCTTTGGGTCATATGTTAGTTCTATGCTTAGTTTTTGAAGGACTCTCCACACTGATCTCCATCGTAGCTATACTAGTTTACATTCTCACCAGTGTAGAAGGGTTACACAGTTCCTTTCCCCCACATTCTCACCAGTATTTATTTTATTTTATTATTTTTTTGTGATGACTGTC